AGCAGGTACAGAGTAAGCAGTAACAGCTATGATGGGTGCTCAACTCTTATGTCCCTTGGACCTCAATTAAAATCCTCAAATCACAAAGACAAGGAGTTCACATGGGTGTGGTGCTTGCACGGAAATACAGATTCTAGAGCTTTTTGGAACTTTTTATACAAAATAAAGAAGACATTTTCTATTAAATTCTCCTTAATTGACAAATGACACCAGAAGAATGTAGGTTTGTAGTGGACATTTCCTACATTCCAGTTGTTATTTAAAGTGGAAATACTGAGAGAATTAACTTTTTGTTGGCAAGCTGACACTTCAGGTCTCTGTTATTACAAAGGGTGTATTCGAGTCATCAGTGTGTCAGGTTGCTTGAAAACTGCATGTTTTCCCCCCAGAAATGGAAAATAAACTGAACTGTTATGTCTGTATGGCTAAAAGCACAACTAAATATTTTGTCTTTTTTAAGGCAATACTGTAACATCAAACTGAGGGAGACAAAATTAAACTGTTGGCATAGCAGCTTGAATCTCTGTAGAGAGAGTACCAGGGGAGTCTGTAGATCAAGTGAAGAAGAAGTGTACGAAATCTTGCAGATGGTTGACTACAACTAGTATAGGAGGGACTAGAAATTGCTGGATGAAATTCCGAATGTGTTGAAGTTGTGAGTGTGTGATCCATTTTGCATTCAGTGAGACTAGGATTCAACCACTGGGCTTAAAAATCCCAAGACATTAAATACCAGCCCCATGACAAAGCTAAAAGAATTGGGGATGTCTGTTTTTTCTGGCATCTGCTGACTTCTTTGTGTTTGGCAGCAGCGCAGCAGCAAGGTCCAGATCTGATTCTTGCCTTCAGTTCAATGTCAATATTTTGTTTTTTGTGAGGAAAACTTGGAAATGCTACATTCTCATCAAGGAGGGGGTAATGTGAGAGTACTTCTTGCTTCTTCCCTTGCTTTCAGGCAACATAGTTTCAGCTCAAGCAGAGAGGCGTGTATGATGACCCGTTTGTTATTCTGAGACCAATATTTGGTTACGAGTTGAAAGTATAGTGATCTCTGATTGCCTTTTGTACTAAGATAAGTGTAAGTCTGGGAATGTCATCAGCTACTGTTGAAAGGCAGGAGAAAGCCCTGGGGAAGGCTCTGCTGCAGTCCCAGCGTGCACAGGACTGTGAAAGGGGGGAGCTGAAAGGAGGCAGGAAGCTGAGGGCAGCCCCTCTCACCAAGGCTCCTGGCCACCTGGCAGCAAGTGGGGCATTTTTCCACAGATTCCTGTTTACAGTGGTTTAGTCGCCAGAGGCTGAAGGTGTTGGTGTCAGTTCAGGATGAGGTGTGTGACATACCTGCAGACAGATTGCTTTTCCAAAACACTGCTGCAGAACTGGATACAGAACCTGGGGAAGCTCCTGCAAAACCCAGGCATCCAAGGGATGGGCCGTGTCACCACACTGCAGGGCGAGCTGTCCCCAGCTGCAGTCCTGTTCACCTTCTCTGTAGGCCAAGATTGGCTCAGCTGCAGTCAGCAGAAGCCCAAGAAATTGGAACCAGCTTCCTTCACTCCCCCTTGCACCCAGGTGCCCTTGACACATGGAGCTGTGCCCAGCTTCCTTGCCAAAGGCGCGCAATGCTTCCACCCTAAACTGAAGGCAGGAGCCGCACATCTGTGAAACTGCTTAAACGTGTATGAACATTTTGCTGGGTAACTGCCAGCAACCTTAGTAATTTTGACCAGAGGAAGATGATGGGGGCGTGGTGGTAGGAGTGGGTGGAACTGCTGGGTGTTACTGAGACTTTGCTTGCAAGGTGCTTGACAAACACCCGCAAAAACAGATACCATAAGTACAGCAGGCAGTGGGAGATTAATCACTCTCCTGGGACAAACCCGGGAGGTTTCCAGCAAGCTCTGTTTGACAGGCCCTTCTTAGAGCTTTAGCGTGTTGATGCAGATCTACAGAGACCTTGGTTCGTTGTGGGGGTGGAAACGAAGACTTTTTTCTCACTGCTGACGTGTTGTCTCTTTTTTTCTTGTAGGTGTGTGATGTCAGAGAGTGGACAGTCCTTGTGGCCTCCCCTGCCAGCCTGCAGTGTCATGTGCCAGTATGAATATTAAGAAGGAAAAGCATACTTCAGAGCTGTGCATCCCAGACAGAAAAAAGGAGGAAATAAACGGAGAGAACAAATGACTCCATTGCTTGCAAAACTTCAGGCTGTTCACTTTTTCTCCTGAGAAATTTCATCTTGGCCTTTGTGAGAGAGCTGAAATAGCAGGCAGAGCAGCCACAGTGATTTTCCTTGGGGTCCTTTTTTTTCTTCCTTAATTTAATTTTTTCTCCCTGGTCCCTGGATTTTTAAGACTGCCAGCTGCACTGATCACAAGCACTGGACAGCAATATGTGTCATGTCATTGTAACGTGTCGGTCAATGCTGTGGACTCTCCTGAGTATCGTGGTGGCTTTCGCAGAGCTCATCGCTTTCATGAGCACAGACTGGCTGATTGGCAAAGCAAAGCCTTCAAGTGCTGAGGATGTGGACAACAGAACGGAGGGGTCGCAAGAGCCCTACCATCCGACACTGGGTATCTACGGGCGCTGCACCAGAATTGCCCACATGCAGCTTTCCAGACGAGACACGCTTTGTGGTCCTTACGCCGAAAACTTCAGTGAGATTGCCAGTGGGTTCTGGCAGGCAACCGCTATTTTCCTAGCCATGGGAATCATGATTCTCTGTGCTGTGGCGTTTGTGTCTGTCTTTACTATGTGTGTGCAGAGTATTATGAAGAAAAGCATTTTTAATGTCTGTGGGCTGCTACAGGGGATTGCAGGTACGTGTACTTTGAGAGCAACTAAAGATTTTAATTTTGGGGACATTCAGCTGGAGAAATATGGCAGTTCTGTCCTGTCTACAGACAGACTGTGTTAGGCAGACCCAAAGCAGTTCTATATGCTGGTGTTTATGCAAACACAACCGAAATTTATAGCTACACAGCATGTAATACATTGACATTGGCAGCAGAAATGCAGCCTGTTGTGTGCCAAAATGAACCGACCTGTGTTGCTTTTGTTTGCGGTTCATTTTTTTCCCCTCTATTTAATCTCTTTCAGTAATAAAAACTTCTCTCTTTTGTTACCAGCAGAGAGCAAAGTTTATATACTCACATTGAGGCAGTCTATCTCCCTCTCACTACTATAGTAATTTTTCCATGGACAGAGGCAGTTCTCTGACTGCTTCAGCAGCTCCATGACTGTGCTGAGAGCAAATATCACTCCAGAGATAAGAACAATCTGCAGTTGCACACTCCATTCTCCAGTGTTTCAAGGCTGTGAGGTTGACAAGCAATACCTTATGACAAACCCTTTTGTTAGCCAGCTTATTGTTCAGCTGCAGTTACGCAGCCCAGTGAGCTTATCTTTTCACTGCTCGAGTATCAGCTGTTGTTTGCCTGAAAAGATTAATTGGTTCTAGAGATCTGATGTTTCTACTTAAACCCATGGATTTTACAGAGATTAAATGACTGTTAGTAAACCAACACTAGACAGCCTTAGTTAGAGAAGTATTTGGCTTTTGGTACTCACCAGTGAACCATGGCGAGAAATTGTCTCATATGCAGGTTTTCATCTTTTGTGCTGTGTGTGTGGTTGACAGGAGGAGGAGAGTGGTCTTCTGCCCTACTTCTGGCAGCTCTCAGAGCCCTGTGAGGAGGGAATGAGCAGGGCCACCTCCAATTTCGCTGTTGGTGGTGCTTTTAAGCAGATATTTTCAATTCATAAATTGGTTTTGTTACAACAGAATTTAGGAGTTTTAACTTGTTTGCTCAAAACATGAATCCAGTTTCTCCCCTCCTTACCTCTGCTCAAGTGGCCAAATGTGTTTGTGGTGACTGTCCTTAGACAGGAGGTGTAGTCATAGGTGTTCAAACCTTTATGAAGGTAGTTGGTTTCATTTCAATTTAGTTGAGACCTAAATTAATCTCACACTACACACAGGTGGGAAGTAGCAAAAACTGTTATTTGCTGCCTGCTGCAGCCCTCCAGAGCCAGCCGTATGGGCCAGGGTCCAGCTGACGCTGGCTCCTGGAGCACTAGCACGGTGGCTCTTGCTGTCCTCCACTTGTACACATCTTTGGTATAAAAGTGTGCTGCTTATTTCACGCCAGCCACAACGTATGGTTTGTGCTTCTGGGGCAGAATTAGATTCCTAAGTTGGCTCAAGATCCTCCTGTTGGCATGCAATTAGCAAATGAATGTCCTTTACATACAGGGTTAGTTACAGGTTTTGGTGTAGTCACTCTCAGTTTACAGAATTTGCCAGAATCAGTGCAACAAGGAAGCAGCTCTGTAGTGCAGATTAAGCCAGGGGAAGGTTGTAGCTCCTTGATTTCTTACCCTGTACTTCAGAAATAATCTATGACACTTGTTTTTCATGAGATGACATTACTTCTTCTCTGTTGGAGGAGTATTTATATGGGAGATGTTTGGCATGTCAGACTTGGGTCTGTTGAAAAGATAACTTTACTTTCAACTCTGATACCATCTCAAAATATCTAGTCTAACATCAAGATTAGCAGGCAGTAGGTTCTTGTATCTTATAATACTGTTCTGGAGACCACGTATTTCTGAGTAAATACATGCAAAGACAGTTTCATGTTTTATTATCAATCCATCAGTACCTCTAATGGCACTTGTGGCCTTAATAATTGAACAGTAAATTAGACAAAGCATTTCTTACATGTTAGGGGATAGACGGGTCCTTTTTGAGCTGTACGAAGGAAAGCAGCACTTCCCTTCTTATAGTTCAGATAAATGACACAGCATGAAACCGGGTAATAGAGAGGTCACGTTGCTGAAACTGTTGATGAGAGTGCGCCTGCCAGTGTTTGCAGCCAGGCGTCTTGTGGCTAGCAACTCATTTTCTCAAGATTAGTTTTATTTGGTCCACTGCTACTTTTGTGCCAGTTGCCTTACAGTATCTGCTTACTTAGTTGAAATTATTTTCCTTATGACTTACTACACTTGTTAATTTCCACTTTCACAGCTCCTGAGTTTTGGAAACAAGTTGCTGTCATGGTTAGTCCATACAGGGGATTGTGATAGCTTATACTAGTGCCCTGACTGGAGAACAAGATACAACCCTGCCTTAATTGTCTCTGTCCTGAGATCATTCTTTCAAATGTGAACAATTATGTTTTCAATAAGTGTATGAGAAGAATTCACAAAATGATTTTGTTTATCAGCTTATATCAGTCCAATGTTTGCAAGTAGTCAAACATTGCATTTTCAAAGATGAGATGCACCCATGGTAGAGTCATCTACAGGAACTCAGGGTCCTGCAGACTTAATCTCATTTAAAATCTCTGTATCTTTGCAGTAGAGACTGAGTATTATTAAAAACACACAACTAGTTAATTTATTCCTGGAATTCATAATGAAAAAACAGTAGGAGACACTGAATATATATATTCAGTCCAGCCACTTTGCTTGTGACCTGGATGATGCCCATGGTGAAATCTCAGAACCGAAAGCACTATCTCTTCTATTATGGCCCTTCGGCAAATGTGCAAACTCTCATTTAGGTAAACAGGAAGGACCTGTACACATATCTGGCCCATAGAAGCTTTGTTGTGGTTTGTTGTTTGTTTTTTTTTGTCACAGAAAATTAGAAATACCCAGCCATAAAGGAAGAAAATACGGCTTTTGTTTAAACTCCTGTAATTCCTTTGTTAGAGAGCAAGACCTTCCACTACTTATTTTCAGACTGCAGTGCCTTTCATTCTCGAGCTGCAGAAACAGTAATCAGTGGCCCTGGTTTTGGAGATGTTTGAGGATCGTTTCATCTAGAAAAGCATCTTTTCTCTGCAACTGAGAGTGCAAAGAATGGAGCCCTGTAATTGAATAGATAATTACTACCCAGCAGCAAGAAGACCATGCAGGCTTCCATTTGAATGTCTTTTTGGGAAAAGTATTCTATTTTTACAGTCTGTGAATCACTTGAAATGCGGAGGCTAGAAAAGGCATCATGTTACTGTATGGTAGCCGATAAGTACCAATTCAAAGTAAATTTTCACAGTAGTTGTAAGAAGTTAATAATTGGTGATCCCCTACTGATGTATCTTGGTAAGCATATGTGATAGTTGCATATGTGTTTACAAGCCTTGTTTGGGCCTGGGTACTTCACTTTGGTACTAAGTAGTATAATCTAAACATAACCTGGCTTAGGACAGAACCTAAAACAGGTTTGACTTCTGTGTCTGACACAGTTTCCTTTATGAAGTTCATCAGCAACAGCTTTTCTTGGCTCTGTTTTGTGACTGCTGAGGGCACAGCTGGCAGCTGCCCTGCGGTGTCGTGGCTGGGCGGTCTTGGCCCCTTCCCCACAGCCAGTGGTTGCAGCTGCCGGACGTGCAGGTGAGCCACAACCCAGCAGCATCACCCTGACCGTACGTCAGGAGGTGGGAGGTAATTCGCAGTGTGTGTGTTATCTCAACTGCAAAACTTGAGCAGGCCCTGGTGTTTCCTTGTGGGAAGCTGCACCATCATGTGCCTGGGCAGGCTTTGGGGAGAGCAGAGGGGAGAGGAAAGCTTTCCTGTCGCGTCAGGAAAGCCGCTGGGTTTGGGAGTTTACTTTCTGTAACTCCTGCTTTGCCATGCTGGTGCGGGGCTGCTTTGCCAGGCAGGTTTACCAAAAGGGGAACAAATCGCTCCTATTTTTAAAGTCTTCCCAGAGTGCTGATGGCTTCATCTGGGAGGCCTCTTGTGGGTCACCCCCTTCTTACCACTTTGTTCATGGTTTGCTCTCTCCTAGCTCAAATGGTGCTTGACTAGATGGGTTTCTGACAGAAGCATGAAAAAAAAAAAAAAAGCAAAAAGCATGTGAAAATTGAGTTGCATCAGTCAGGAGACCAGCTGTGTCCCAGCCGTGCACCAAGGGGTGTCTCTGATTTGGTCAGGTGAATGCATGGCTGCGTTTTGCCATTCCATGGCTGTGCAGGCAGTTACGTCTTTAACAGATTCACGTCCAGTCAGATGAAGCAGATGTTCCTGTCTTCAAAGGCCGCTGCAGGTGGGCTGAGAGCATTAGGTTTCTCCTGACACTTGGAGTCTGTCTGCTTGGGCCCACATGCTGCAGGTTTTTACTTCCCTCCTTCATTCTAGCATTGCTGGGGATGACTTGGCTTCTTCCTTTCCAGGGTCCTTCTTCAGTATCTCCTTTCATAACCCAGCACTGAGGTTTCCTTAACATTTCTCCCTACTTTATTCTTGCTGAGCATGTCCTCTTGTACTCCTACTTTCTTCAGGGAAGCCATTTCTTTCCCCTGATGCTTGTCCTGCACAGTCCTGAGCACTGAAGTCTCCTCCACAGTACTTTCTCTTTTCAGGTATCTCACACGGTCTCCTGTTTTCATTCTTCTGTCCTTTCTGTGGTTTCTTATTTTTTCTCTTTTATTACTGTTATGTCTTCTCCAGTTTCCTTCTGTTTATACCAATCTTGGGGCACTCCTCCCTCAGAAACTACTGCAGTACTGGGTAGTAGTTCAGTTCCAGGGGTGCAGCTTTACCCTTCAAAAGCAAGGAAACTTTGCCACATTTTTCTAGAATGAAGAGGTGAAACCCAGTTTGAAGCCAGCTGTATCTGTAGCAGCCTATCTTTGCTGCTGGAAGAGTTTGTTTTCCATCTATTGCACCAAGAAATAGTTCAGTGCATTATACTTTTCGGTAATGATTTCCATTTGGGTGGCTGGGTGATTAGGAAGCTGGCCTAAGCAGAGCATGATGGGAACCATCTGAAGGGGAAGAGGATCTGGAGCTGTGCATAGGGGTGCATGAA